ACAAACAAGTTGTGCCTCCATGAGTCAAACTCGTGGCTCAGAGTGCAGTAGTCTCAACCATTCGGCAATCCCTGCCTCGGAAATAGTTCTTTAATATACCGGGGAGAAATCAACTGTTGCACACCTACCCATAATCGCAATCTGAGATTTATTTGCAATCCCTTTGGCCACAACAAATTTGACCGAATCCAATATGTCGAGAGGTGCATCTTTCTGGACCATTCGCCATTGCCAGCCTTTGCAAAACACGTTTCGCCGAAAGCCATCAGCATTCACGATAATGTTACCTGAACTCCATCATGAAAAAATATTTTGGCCGTTTTTCGGTTATTAAACTGTATGTTACTTAGATGCAAAGTGAAAAGTGCAATTTACCTGAAGTACCGCATAACCTCTGTTCGTTAGAAATACATTCTCAAGCGATAATCCATAAGAATCTCTGTCATTTGGACCACCATGAACAGAGACGATAAGTTTCTGAGGATCGACAGGGAGCAATCCAAGGTTGGCGTAGTTGCGATCTGAGGCCGGAACATCCTGAGCACTTCGGAGCGCAGCCTGAAAACGACTCACGCGGCATCCAGAATTTCAGTAAAAATGTCATAGACTGACGTTTCTCGGTTAAAAGACAACTGTCTCCAAAGCTGACCTCAGGTGGGAGACTGAGGTACGCTTGCAGGATAGAGACCGCTCCTGTGCCATCTGTATCGAGCGACTTGCCGACTCAGATTATAATGCTTCAGCTCCTGATAAGGGTTCAACAGAAATTCTGCCTAGAAATGAAGTGATTTTTCCGCAAGATATTCTCGAATAGTGGATGAATTCTCTAGCATTCAATATCTTCTCCGTGTGTCCCCGCTCCTATTTACTATAGACTACGTAGCCGTAGCTGCCCAGTAACATCCACTTCCATTGAATTATACTGGACGATGAGTATTTAAGAATCATAGACGATGCGAAAATGTGTTCAGCCACTATAAAAAATGGAGGAGGCTCACCTAGCTGACCTAATGTTCTGCCTTTCTCAGAGCGCTTTAGTCTACTATCCGTTTTGGAATATTCAGTATATATGTTACGTATATAGGTACGTGTTTTAACTTAATAAGGTGACACAGACTGCCATACCTTTTTTGTCTTCCTTCGGTACAGAAATACATCATTTCCATTTGGTGAAGTGTATTCAACTATCCATGTTGTGGCATCTGAACCATGAGCCTAACCTGTACGGTCTTGGAACATTAACACAAAAGCATCAGTACAAAGCAGTGGGTCAACGGACCTAAACTCATACTAATACTCTGGATTGAACCGTACTGGATCAGATAGTGTAGATCATCCTTGAAAGTGTCGTTGAGGACGATTAGCTCTGGTTTGTGATAAGCCTGAAGAGTTTAAACTCGTCCACATTCTCCCTGAATAACGCAGCAGCCCGTTGTAACTCCTCACCAACCTCAGTCACGAACTGGACCGTCTGATCTAATGGATGCACTGTAACTTTGTCGATTTCGGCACGTCTAGGCGTGTAAAGCACCTTCCTTTGGTTAATCGCGTCGAATGGAAACATGACCAAAGATCCTGAATATTTTCTTTTCATCCCTGGCCTTTGCCTCCGAAGACTCAATCAAGTAGTGATTAACTCTGCACTGCGCAGCAGTGCCCTAATCATGAAAATCACGTTGAACAACTGCTGTAGAAAATGACTCTGAACTTAAAAGTTACATTTTTTCTGAAAATTTCTGAGCTTTGTTCGTCTTCTGATACGACAATTCTGATAAAATGATTGCTGTTATTGAAGGGTAAAGGATGAAACGTTTGGCAACGAGCAATCATTTGTCGAAGCAATCATTCGTTCTGGTGATTTCATCCTCGAAGATGGACCTCGTAGCGGTCGACCTAAAGCAATACCTGACGAGTTCGAGAGATTGCAGAAAAGCTAGGCGTTGGCAAATCCACTGTTGCGGATGGTCTGAAACGCATTGGGAAGGTGAAAAAACTCGACAAGTGGGTGCCCCACAATTTGAGTGACCGGCAGAAATTGGCACGTCTCGAGGTTTCTTCTTCACTGCTTTTGCGCAACAGAAACGACCCGTTTTGACCGAACTGTCACCTG